TTTGCTATTTAATCTTATGTTATGTTGCTACACTACCACACACTTTATATACATCGTCCTAAACAAACCATGTCAATCAGCAAACCAGGCAATTGATTTTGCTGACTCAATGCAGTACAATAGCAGTTATTTTTTCCTCTCCATATGTGGGACTACAATTGCCATCTGCTAACCATTTAAGGCAGTAGTGAGGTTTACTTCATGTAGATGTATGTAGGACTGTGCAGTGTTATGACTAAGAAATATATTTAACTACATAATCTATAAGCAGACCCATAATGCTAGATAAGTCAATGATTAAGATTTGTCTATACATATTTGTCAAGTGATAGTATAGTGAGGATGACCAATTCCATCTGATATTCCTTTATGTTGATTCTAAATTACATAATAAAATTTAGCAACTTTGGTGGGAGATTGTTTTCTTGATCAGTTAGTCCATCATAAGAAAACAGGGCAGTATAAGATATTTTCAAAGAGGAAACTATAATTTTGTACCTATTATGTCAGTGGAAACAAAAAATAAATGAAAAATAAGAGATTATGATGAGGTGTTCCTATTATTATTATAAAATGTTCAAAAAGTACTGATTAAGATGTATACTGCCATTTATATGTCAAAGTCTAGGCAGATAGGAAAGAACTGCTCATGTGCTCCCTCTCCATCCAAAATATTTATGGCACATTTGGGCCCTAAGCTCCCCTTGTCTAAGATCCTGGTATTTTTTTTTCTGAACTATATTGCTTTTGTAAAATCCATGAAGCATTACAAAATTATAAGCCAAGGCTTTCTTGCACCAATAGAAGCAAACCTATATGATATATGTTTGCTAACTGTGGAAATTCCATATTTTGTACATATTTGAAATACAACTATGTGAGAGTTTATTCTACAATCTTTTTGTTTATTTGATTAATATGGCTACCAATCTCACTTTTATGTGACTTTGGGCAGCTTATAATAAAAAATGCATAAAATATACAACATTAAAAAAATCAAAAATAGAACACCTAGTAGCTTGGCATAATTTAACCCAATGGTCTCCAACCTTTTGGACACCAGAGACCCGCTGTGGAGACTGGACATGGTTTTGTGTGCTGCCTGCATCCCGTGAATGGAGTTTTACTTGTTTGCACAGCCTGGTTTCTGACACAGACATCATCCACACAAACAAAAGATGGGCTCTAACCCAGGACCAGGGCCTGGTCCACAAAGTCAAGTTTTTAGGCCTTATAAAAGACTAACAGGGCCAGAACAAGTCTTGGGAAATGATATTCCAAAGGGCATGTGCGTGGAACGTTGTCAGCCAACATTACCTAGTCAACAGTGCCCATAAAGCATGTCCTAAGCCAGATTGAGTAAGGCAGGTAGGAGCAACTGGGGAGAGAACAATTCTTTGAACAATATACAAACATTAATCATGATACTGAGAAATTTACATTTTTACCATTCCAAAACATCAAAAAAGTTTGTCCTAAAAGCTTAATTAACATTTTGTTTAGATTGGGACTCACACATGTACAATCAAGTGTACATGTGAAGATAACCTCTCAATTTAGGTGAACAGTGGATCAGGTAAAGGCAAATATCTCCATATCTGAAATATGTAATATCTACCAGCACTACCGGATTTTGACAAAACTGGGAAATTCAGTGTTAAAAAATTGCCAAAAATTCATATAATAAGATCCAAGAAGTTCATCAGCAGAATGGAAGCCAATCCAAATTTCCTGGACTTTGGCATCAAAATCCAGGAAGCAGGACTTGTGATCCCACACAAATTTTGGCAAGTGGGAGAAACTGACTTATAAAATAGGACTGCAGTTTGATTTACTTCTGAACAAAAATAAACTAACTGGCAAATCTTATTTTCCTTGTAGATAATATTAGGAGGAAGGCAACAATTAACTCATGATTAACAAAAGAAAAAAAAAATCCCAGCATGTTTGTATATCCTGCACCTGGAAAAGCCAGAGCAGATAACTAAAATTGGTGATTTATTCTATTCTGGAAACGTCTGTTGTATTATCCTTTCATCACCGCTCAGGCAATGGATATCCCAGGCTTTTTAAACCGTGCTTCGCTGCATCAAATATGCAAGACCTAGCCCAGCCCACCCTTCCAAATGATTTGCACAGACTTCTCCAACGTGGAGATTTCCAGAGGTATTGGACATCCAAGGAGACGCAGACTCCAGGGCAAGTCGGCTGAGTGCCTGGGCGACATTCCGGCAAGGCAAAAGGCACAAAGGGGGCAGGGTCCCTCAAGCCGGCTGGGGAAGGAAAAAGCGCGCGCTCTCGGCTGGCTTAACCCAGTTCCATTTCCAAGGCAAGAAGGAGCCGGGAGAGGGAGGAGCTCTCCGCCCACCCTCTCTCCCGCCTTTCATTCCCCGCGTTGAACAGCGCGAGTACACACACTACGTGACTGGGGACGCATCCCTCCCTCCGGCCAGCTTGTTCTGCTCTCGCTCCGTCGGTACAAAACAACTGTTATCCAGCTTTATTTACTCCTGCCCGAGCCAGCAGGGCTTGCGCTCTCCTCTTCTCCCCCCCTCTCCGCCTCGCTGGAGCGCTGCCTGCCGCCTTTCTCCCCCCCCGCCCCCTCCGCAGAACAAAGGAATGCGAGGCGCCGAGGCAGCGCCCTCCAGCCAGCCCCTTCTAGCGCGCGCGCTTCTCGCCCAGTCATAACAACCAACGCCTTAAGGACTGCTGCGAGTCCTCCGGCTCGCTCTCCAGTCGCCGCGGCCGCCGTCGCCCTCCGCCCCGGGGCGCGAGAGCCACGCTCACCCGGGCGCCCATTCCGGCACCCAGGAAGAGAGGCCCCAGTCCAGTGCCGCCTCGCTCCTCTTTTCTTCACTAGCCTGCATGGCAAAGGCCAGAGCGGACCCGAATGGCCCCCCGAGCAGCCTCGTTTTAAAACCCGGGAGAAAGCTGGGAATGTCGGCAACGCCCCCGCCTCCTTAACTCTCTCTCTCGCGCGCTAAGAAGAACCAGCAGGAAACATTTTAAAAAGATGTTAAAATTTGATTCCACGCCCCCCCCCCCCCGGAACATTTTAAGGGTTTCTTAAGGAATGGGCCGTTTTTAAATGTAATTGCTGCAAAAAAAAAAAAAAAGTCGGGAGCCTTCCCCCTTGCCAAGGAAAAAACTAGAGGGAGATTCTGCGAGAGCATCTTACGTTGCGGTTGCACGGCAGGCTTCTGACCAAGTGACACAGATCACAGCAGGCTGAAGCTAACGACTGCCCCCTCATCTCCCTTGTCAGCACGATCTCGTTTCTTCAATACAAGCTGCAGGGGGGCAATGAGATCCGAGACATTCACTTTTCCCGAAACACGTAATGATCTCCTAATAGGTCTGTTTTTGCCGGGGTGGTGGTGGCGGGGGAGGGGTGGAAGATCATGGACGAAAGCTGACACCTACCAAACCACTTGATGTCTGTGCGAGATGCCTTCCTAAAAATACCAGTCTTATCAGAACGTCTCCGAAGGCGTGGAGTTCAAAACGCGAGCAAATGTCCTTGAACGCCTATTTGCACAGCTCTGGAGAAAAGACCAGAAATAGCCCAGGAAGCTACAATTGCTTCAGTGTGATGGAGCTAAATATAGTCGTGCGCAATTCTCATTTTAAGGGACGTGGCATATATTCAACAAGCCGAGTTGTCGCTCCATTTAACCACTGATCTACTTTTCCAAAGGGGCGAGGCGGGACTTGGGGGGTGGGGTGGGGTGGGGTGGAAGGAATTTGGACATCTCTTCGTCTAACGCCGTCTTTAAAAAAAACAAAACCTCGGAGTGAATTGTTGTAGTTTCTTCACGGGAAGATTTACAAAATCACGTAATTAACTTCCCAGCCTCACTGCCAGCAAATTTTGTGGTTACATAATGCAACGTTTCCAGGAACGATCAAAGAAACGCATTGCCTGAAAACCAGTTGCCAATAGAGAGCAAACGGCAGCAGCCAATACACACACAAGCTTAAAAAAAGAACCGCTTGGAAGAGAGCGATTTGTTACGTGTATTCCTTTTATAGTTGTTTTAAAAGTGAATTCTGGAACGTAAGGATTTTTCTTTTAAAGGATTCTCGAGGACCACAGTGGACACCTACTTGAAAGTTTCTGTATCATTTCTTACACACATTTTCTATAAAATATCCTGAAGAGATGAAATGTGTAACGAGAGACAGAATTCCACAGCGTTAAGCACTGCACGTTCTCGTCCCCTCGCTTGCCAATAGTTCACCATGGACGGATTATGCAATGTATGAAATAACAAGTCGCACCAACCTCCCCTTTGGCTGTTAAGACATTCATACAGCTAAAACATGCGCCTAGAAAAGAAGTCCAATAAAACAGAGGCAGCTTACAGAGAGCTGTTTTTCTTATCGTCTCCCTATCCCCGAATAGTAGCTCATTCACGTTCAATTCTTTCACTAACCCTATTCAAACATGAAGCCTTCTCCAGTTCTGCCGGGATTGCTCAGTATCAGCCGGCCTCAAGCTTGCCTAACGTCTTCGCTCCTCCAAACCACCAATTTATCTCACACAAGAGCTACATTACGCAACATTACAAGACCGCCACAGAGAAATAACAAGAGAAAAAGCCCCACGGGCCAGAAAGCCACGCTCCAGGTCGGAGACCGTGAACCCAGGGGCGCCTGCAAGCATCTTAAGGTAGCGAAGTCCCGCGCTGGCATGCCAAAGGCTGTAAAAAAAGTTGTAGGGCAGCCATAGAGACAGATGCGGACAAAGCGGAGCTGGCTATTGCCTACCGATAACGACAGGCACGTGTATAATCGAGCTAGGCTGGAAGGTCTAAGCACGCGAAGTGCCCCAATAAAACAAGAAGACTCCCTCGTAGGGAAATATGGCAAGTACACTCCGAGAAGGTTTTAGTGAAAAGATGATAGATAGATAGATAGATAGATAGATAGATAGATAGATAGATAGATAGATAGATAGATAGATAGATAGATAGATAGATAGATAGATAGATAGATACCTGCACATCTATATTTTAGCTGTCTCCTTTAACGCGGTGGGACAGGCTGTCCGTCACCCTAGAAGCTCCTTCTGGCATCTGACCGCGTTCTTCAGAAGTTGCCACTTTGAGGGGACGAGCGGGCTGACTCGGTGCCCAGGCGTGAGGAGCTGGAAAGGCTCAGGGGAGATCTGGAAGACCCCTGATCAATGGGAGCGCCGCTGCCTCTGCTGGAAGCAGTCAGAAGCAGTTCGCGGGTGAGGACGAGGGGGAGGAGGAGGAGGAGGCGGAGAAGGGAGCGCGAGCGAGTACGTCAGGGAGCGGTAACTGGGTCTTCTTGCCGACTCTGCGAACGCCGCCGCTTGCTAGAGAGAGATCTGTGCTAGTAGGTCAATACTGTACACTCTTCACAACGTACAATTCTCCTGCCAGCCTTTGCAATGACGGGCGGTTGCGCGGTGCCAATCAGAGCTCGGCGCTTCTCGGGGAGCAGCCAATGGAGGCCTCCCGCAGGGAAGTGACAAGGGCAGGACCAGACTTGAATCGAACCCCGCTCCCCCGCCTTCCCTTCCCTCCCTTTTACACTTTCTCCGCCCTGTTGGAGCGGTGTGTGGGGTACAGTAAGATGTATGCGCTGGATATTGCATAACTTGGCGGAGCGGAGGGGGCCGAAGGAGGAAGAAAGGGAAGGCAGCTGACATTGACGTAATCGCCCAATGGTGAGCCAGAGAGAGACCGGGGCCGAAGCGGAGAGTGAGCCTCCCTCTTTCTTCCCTGCTCCCAGACTGTTCAAAAACACGCCGGGCGATGTGTAGTCATATTGTAGACCTGACATCACAGGGGAGCGAAGCGGGGGTGGGGTGGGGTGGGGGGAAGGGAGGGTTGGAACGGGAGCTGAAAATATCCCTGGCGGCCGCTCGCGCCCCTCTGGTCTCACTCCCGCCTCCAAATAGGGGCGGCGGGAGGAGAATCATACACGCCTTCATCTGCTACATGAACCGCTTGCAATGGGCAGTCGCCGAGCGTGGGTATGGCGGTCGAGGTAGCCTGGGGTGTTGTCTTTCGTGCAAGAGAACCTGCTCGGTTTTGCATCGTGGGGAGGAAAAGTTTGCCTGGGACAGGGATAGATCAAAACAAGATTGAGGCGGGAGCTCCTGGGTCATTTTTTCCTCCGATCGGCCCTGACAGCAGAAATAAAATGATCATTAACATTATCGTTATTGTTGCAAAAGTTGCTCGCTATCTCAAATGATAACCTGATTCAACACTTAAATGAGACGGGTTGTATATTCTGTGTCCACTAAGTAGATCTTTTAATGCTGCTTTGGAAAATGGTATCGCCTACATTTCTCAATTAACCTGCCACCCGGTCAGGATATCAGTGTAATCAATACTCCTCCATTGAATTATATTCACTTTAGTAACCAAATAAGACCCTTCTGAAGACAGATTGACTCATTATACTGCAGGGCTAGTAACTTCATTTAGTGAACCTCCAGGACACAGGCTTCTGCCACTTTGACTTGCAATTTCTAATTTCCATTTAGAAATTATATTCTTAAATCACATTTTCAGCTGGCAAATCAATTCATACTGCTAATTTTAACATTTTTATTTCTTCCTTTAAAAAGGGCAAATGCATTTCCAGGAATGCTTCATTAGAGGTGGATAGTTCTTGTACTTTGTTTTTGCTGTTTGCTTGACTTACAGTATTCTCTGTGGTCTTAGTGCAATAGATATCAAAAGACAGAGTTCTTTCTGATGATCTTTGCATCAAAATCTTAGTGATATATGTATGTGTGTGTGTATATATATATATATATGTGTGTGTGTGTGTGTGTGGTGTATGTATGTATATGTATATATATTGGTTCAGTAAACACTTTTGCTGCTGGATTATGTTAGTAATCTGGATATAGTTTTATGAATATATTATATACTTCCACTGCATGGCTGATTTTGCAACTTTGCATAGTTCCAAAAATCTTGTGGCAACAGTTGACTAATAAAATTAAGCTATAACCATACACTGTTCTTCATTTTGTAGAATCAGACTAGCAAGAGTGAATGCTTCCCAAACTCCTTGAAAATCAGTGACTATTTGGCATTGTTGAGCAAGGTTTTAAAATAATTGTAAAATAGTGTTGCCCTCTTTCTTATGAAATAAGAATTTGTGTTCTAAGCAATTCATTTTGCAAAAACAAAAATGAAAAGTCCTTATTATATAAGCAGTTTAAAGTTGCTTTTACAGCACTCTGTAGTTTTCCTTTGAAATTGCTATCTTTATACAGAATCCAGATAACAAAATTGTTTTGCTGTTGGTCTTATGGCTTTTAAAAATCTGATCTGTATCTTTATGTATGAATGTAAGTATCATTTTATGCTGTTGTAATACCACTTGGTGCAGGTTAGAAAAGCAAAGTATATTGAAGCTTTTCAGGATTCCTACACTAATAAGTAAAATCTTCCTGCTTGAAAACTCAGAATTTTGGTATTGTTTAGGGCAATGGTTCTTGACCTTGCAACTTTAAGATGTGGGCTTCAACTCCCCAAATATATTTCTTTATTTTAGAAACATATACAACCATTCAGTTGACACACAGTGAACCTCCGCATCTTACAATACAACAAATCCACAATACAAAACCCATAAAACACTATTTCACCCCATGATGATAGATGATCTTATCCAGCAGTTTCATGTAGATGTTAAACAGGAGCAGAGAAAGCACTGACCCCTGTGGGACCCTTGATCTGACCTCTCACTACCAATCAACACGAACTGAAAATGGTCTCAGAGGAAGGAAGTGAAACAGGAGTGTGCCCTCTTCCAACCACTGGAGTTGCTCAAGAAGGATACCATGGTTGATGTTATTGAAAGTCGCTGAGAGGTAAGAAAATTGAGAATGGATGCACTATCCCTATAATGCTACTGCCAGATATTAATATCATGGTCTCTTTCATCATTCTCAGTTCTTCTGTATACCATGGGGAAAGACACTGCTTGGGCACAATCCTATCTAAAATCACAGTCACCCTCCTATTCCAAGTAGCGACTATTATCTTGGTAGAGCTATACAGCAGGTCATTCGTTATAATTTCTAGCTGTCTCTGAAACTCATCAGGATCCATCAATCACCAGGGGCAGAATGATCTAATAGGTGCAGAGAAGAGCAACAAAGATGATTAGGGGTCTGGAGGCTAAAACATATAAAGAACAGTTGCTGGAATTCGGTATGTCTAGTTTAATGAAAAGGACTAGGGGTGGCATGATAGCCGTGTTCCAATATCTAAGGGGTTGCCATAGACAAGAGGGGGTCAACCTGTTCTCCAAAACATCTGAAGGCAGGATAAGAAGCAATAGATGGAAACTAATCAAGGAGAGAAACAACCTAGAACTAAGGAAAAATTTCCTAACAGTGAGAACAATTAATCAGTGGAACAACTTGTCTCTAGAAGTTGTTAATGCTCCAACACAGAAAGTTTTTAGGAAGAGATTGGACAACCATTTGTCTAAAATAGTCCCTTCCAACTCTATCATTCTGTTATTCTGTTAATATGTCTTTCTTTCCTGTGAGGGATATAGTCCAGGAGAAGCTCATAGCTGTCAGTTCATGATCGTGACAGAAGGATCAAGGATAGGTTGACCATTTCCAGTCAGGTATATTTCTGAGAGAGAGACTGCACCCAGCCCCAGCCACGCATGGATGATAAGTGCCAGATTAGGGTGATCGTTACAGCAAAGGGAGGGGGTCTTTGATGAGTATTTTCCTTTATTTTTTCCTGTTACATAAAATCAGGAAATGCCTATGTGGAAATACCATTTTAATTTTCACTTCCAAAACTGAGTACTACTTGTACTTTAATGGACATTTACCAAAAGTGAACCAAAAGAAACTATAGTTACATTATAACTGAGACCAATGAATATGAGGCAATGTTTACTGGTGCTGCTGACTGAAGAAACATCAAATATTGTGCAATAACCACATAGAATGCAAAAGGAAAATGTGTTTGTTTTGTTACAATCTCTCACTTTCTCTAAAATTATAAATTTCCTATTTACTCTAGTTAAAAATATACACAGAGGGAAACATTAAAACAAAATCAATTAGGTTTTTTTATTTTTCTATGTTGGTAATGTGATGTCTGGCTCACAAATGTGGCATCAAAACATTATTTTCCAGACCTCTTTTTTGTTTCTTACTGGCTCTTCTAAGCATTTCCCAAGATATGAGTATTCAAATCAAATATAAGTCATATGGGGAGCATCCTCAAACATGTTGGGCCAGTGTTTCCACATTCTTCCTCCCCCCCCCCCATCTTCACCTTTGAATCAAGCCTGGGAGAAAGCATGTTTTGGGCTAATATTCAGTGTGCACCATCAGAGTTATGCAATTATGAATAACAAGGCTTTATTATGCACTCTTACAAACCTGAAAGTACACACGCATCTACTGAACATTTTTTTTAAATAAAGGAACCTTAAATGCTCTGCATTATTTCCCAGATAACTGCTGTTATAGCATTACACTTGTGGCTTGAATACATCCACTAGAAACATCAAATATAAAGCTTATCTGATCTTTCAAAGTCCCCTTTCATTTTCTATAATTGCAGCATGAGGCAATGAAGTGTGATGGTTATTTGTATTATAAGCACAGTGGATACTATAACACATATGTTGATATGCAACTACAGAGCAGCTATTAGATGTGAAGAAGTCAGCACAGTAGTGAATCCAAAACATTAGTAAAGCCTGTGTTCCAGTCTAAAAAAACAAATTTGCAAAGTACAATTGATTCTCAATAACAATCAATCAATATCCAGTTTGCACTCAAAGCTCTTCTCCAGAACATTTTTCTTCCCTGCTATATACTTTGCATCTCATCCTTTTTTCCTCTACCTTCTTTCTGAAATCCTGACATGCTGAATGTGCCATGATTAATAAACTTACTAGGCTGCTTACAAAATTACCCTTCAGATATTTATGTCAATTGACATCATGAAGTGATCAAGAGAAAGAGATGGTCAGATAGAAGCAATTATGTATGTGCTCTGCGGAGGCCCACTTCATACTGTTTATATGACAAACAAGAGCAAACAAACAAATGAGATACATTCAGTTCCAGATAACTGAGGCTCCAAACCTTAAATATAGTAAACATACAGATATTTAAATAATAGAAGAAAAACAAAGTATAGCTGTATCCTGTAATCTTGCTGATAATTTGGAACTCTCCAAGCATTTATGTACAGCAGTGCAAGTTTAGGGAATAAAATGAGAAATACAGCTCAATTAAATGTGAACTGGCAAGAGAATATTTGTTATCCTATTTCAACTGATTTGCAAGAGATTTAGAATAGGCTAAAGCAACTTTCCCTAATCTGTATCTCTTCAGATATGTTCAATTTCAGTTGTAAAAATTCTAAGCCGGCATGATCAAAGAATATACTAGAAGTCTAACATATCTGAAGAGCACTATATCATGAAAGATAGGATTAGAGAAAATATATGACCCATTAGATGATTAATTAGTGGAATTAAGATGTGGGGATGACCAATATCTTCCATGGATTTTAATAAGGATCTATCAGTGGCATTACCATGATGTATTATGCAAATACAAAGTCTAGGGCAGCTGAACCAGTTAGTGAGATCCATTTTGGTGTAACAATTAAAGGCACTGACCTTTAATCAGTGAGACTTTTAAGTCCGGTCCTACTTTAAGCATGAAGCCTGTTGTGTGTGACTGTGGGCCAATCACTCTTTCTCAGCCCTAGGATGGAGGCTGCCACAAGCCACTTCTAAAAATGTTGCCAAGGAAGGTACATAAAGTTATGAAGGCAGTCTTCAGGAATAACAACTGACTCGAAGGCACACACAAGGAGAAACAGCTGCTAGAGAGCAATCATAGAGAAGAACAACTGTTTCTTTGCTCTGCTGAGTGATTTTCCAAGAAATATGTTTGTATGCATGTGAGGAGATCAACTGAGACATCAAAGTAGAAGTAAACTTATAGGTTTAAAGACAAAATTGTTTCCCTTGTTAGAAGGAAAGTATCATCTGTTTCATTCCATTCTATTTACCTCCAAACATTCTATTTGTTCCGTCCCAGTTGCTTGACTCAAACCTTAGCTGACTAATCTATTGATTGTTTGCTCAGACTAGTAGTTCACTTTTTAAGAAGAAACTAATCTTTTATGCATAGAGAAGTAGAGAATTACATCTGATTTTTTTTGTGGTTGGAGATTTTTTTTAAGGCTGTTAGGGGCTTTTGAATATCTGGCTTAACTTCAGTGCTGTCCATCAAGTATGTTATTTGAAGATGTCAAAAATATAGTCTAGTCCATCTGGAATATACCATGACCAGATCTGCAGGCTTGCTATATCTCATCAGTGTGTCAACTCCTGGAATAGATGACTCATCCTCTTAAAGCGATTATCTTTCAAAAATCTGCCCCCCCCTTTTCTCCTGGCCCAATACTGTTATGATCCTTTTGCAGGGCTGCTGAGCTGCTGGGTATAAAGTTACATTACAGTTTCATTTGTGCCATTGCATAGCAGCTTTTGAAAATAACTAGAAGAGATCAAGATCAGTTTTTAAATTGATTGAAGAGCTGGCAACCCACTGCAAATATATAACAGGAAGAAATAAGATTGAGTATAAATCAGTCACTATATCATTTAGCTGTATGGGTTACACATTTTACAACAACAACAACAACAACAACCACCACAACAACAACAACAACAACAACAATAATAATAATAATAATAATAATAATAATAATAAAGTTGGAAGGGAGTTTGGAGGTCATCTGGTCCAACCTCCTGCTCAGGCAGGAAACCCTATACCATTTCAGACAAATGGCTGTCCAGTCTCTTCATAAAAACTTCCAGTGTTGGAGCATTCACAGCTTCTGGAGGCAGCTTGTTCCACTGATTAATTGTTCTAACTGTCAGAAAATTTCTCCTTAGTTCTAGGTTACCTCTCCCTCTTTGGTTAGTTTCTATCTGTTGCTTCTTGCCCTGCCTTCAGGTGCTTTGGAGAATAGCTTGACTCCCTCTTCTTTGTGGTAGCCCCTGAACACTGGAACACTGCTATCATGTCACCCCTCATTCTTCTCTTCATTAAACTAGACATACCCAATTCTAGCAACCGTTCCTTATATGTTTTAGCCTTCAGTTCCCTAATCATCTTTGTTGCTCTCCTCTGTACTCTTTCTAGAGTCTCAGCATCTTTTTTACATCGTGGTGACCAAAACTGGATGCAGTATTCCAAGTGTGGCCTTACCAAGGCATTGAAGAGTGGTATTAACACTTCATGTGATCTTGATTCTATCCCTCTATTAATACAGCATAACACTGTGTTGGCTTTTTTGGCAGCTGCAGCATACTGCTGGCTCATATTTAAGTGATTGTCCACTAGGACTCCGAGATCCCTCTCATAGTTGCTACTATTGAGCAAGGTACCAGCTTTACTCTACCTGTGCATTTGGTTTTTCTTGCCTAAATGTAAAACCTTACTTTTTTCACCACTGAATTTCATTTTGTTAGACAGCGCCCAATATTCAAGTCTGTCAAGATCCATCTGTATCTTAAACCTATCTTCTGGAGTGTTGGCTATTCCTGCCAGCTTGGTGTCATCTGCAAATTTGATGAGTTCCCCATCTATCCCCTCATCCAAATCATTGATGAAGATGTTGAAGAGCACTGGGCCCAGAACAGAGCCCTAGGGCACCCCACTACACACTTCCCTCCATGTAGATGCGGTTCCTTTGAGGACCACATGCTGAGTACGGCCGGTCAGCCAGCTATGAATCCATCTGGTCGTGATGCTGTCTAATCCACATTTTTCTATCTGATCAAATAGTAGCTTGTGATCTATTTTATCAATGTTTGACACTTCAGGATTTCAGAGATCCAGGGCTTAGTTTTGGTCTTTTCTACTTTCCCATCCCAGGACTGTTCTATTTTGATTATACTTACTGTATACTTACTGCAATGTTAATCTTGGCAAGTTTAAGATGTATGGACTTCAACTCCCAGAATTCCTCAACAAGCATGGGGAATGGTTCCCTGCATGGCTGGCTTGGATATTCTGGGAACTGGAATTCAACCAACTTAAAGTTGCCAAGGTTGAGAAACACTGCAGTAAAGCAACACTCAGACAACCAAGGAGCTGTGGACAGTTTATGCAAAACCCTAAATTATATAGATAAGCAAAATGTTATCTAGGGCAGAACAAAACTGAGCAGCCCTGCTAGCTTACCACTATCTTACTTTGTCTCCCATTTATTTTGCCCCATGTTTAAGGCAATGATTCAAAACTGTATACATTCACAAATAGAAAATTGGACTTTTTAAAAAATAGCACCTGCAGTACCAACATATTTTTAGTGCCTCCTACCACTCTGCTGATTGCTAGGTACATGCCTCATTTTCATGTTATAAATACATAGGTGTGCTATGTTATTTATCACATGCCTTTTGACAGTTATTTTTGGAAAAGTATCAGAAAGAATGCTTCAGACCTGGAAAGGACTATGTACAGATTCTAGTTTGAGAAGCTTGTTATAATTCAGGATTTATTATGGCAGCCATTAATTTTCAGATTCAATAGAGTTATGTTTGCTTTTTTCCTGCATTTGACCCACTCCTGTAAGCCACACAGATCTTATTCATATGAATAATTGTTTTGGATTTGTAAATTATTATTCATATGAGCAAAGTTTTACAGTTCTCAACTGTGGTGCTTTTGAATTCCCACCGAAGTATTTTAACTATAGTCATTACTGACCACAAATTACCTAATGATACATCTGAAGAGTAATGTTTAAGATGCAGTTACATGTAGAGTTTCTTCAGAAGTCATTTAAAAGAAGAAAAAGCAAATAGGTGATGAATCATTTGCTGAAAGCTACAAGAACAATACAGCAGGAAATCCCCCTTTATAAAGCTAATTTGGGGTATTGGTTAAGGCAGTGGCCCACAACCTTTTGGGCACCAGGGACTGGTTCTGTGGAGAGGGATTTTTCCGTGGATCGGAGGGTGTGTGGTTTCGCATGCTTGTTTGCAAGGCCAGGTTTCTGGCATGCTGCAGAATGGTGCCGGTCCACAGACTGCAGGCTGGAGAACCCTGGGTTAAGGCATGAGACTAGAAACCAAGTTTGTGAGTTCTAGTCCCGCTGTGAGCATGAAGCTGGTTGGGTGACCTTGGGCCAGTCACTTTCTCTCAGTTCTAGGAATGAGGCAACGGCAAACCATTCCAGTCTTTGAGAAATGGATACATTTGAATGAAAAGGGGGGAAAAAATAGAAGCACGGTATAGAAGCAAATCCTCCAAAGCAACATTTCAGGGTTCAGCTGTCTCTACTTTGGTGTTCTCTGGTAGGACTGGGAAGCAATTCTCTACATTCTTACCTCAGATTCAGGGACAGAAGAGAGCTCAATTTCGATTCTTTGTTAGCTGGTCAAAGATTAAAGGAAAATTTCACAAAGCTATTTCTACAGGCTTTGGGCAATCCCCAATTTGAGATTGGACTTTAATTTGCAACCTGTAATGGTTCCATAATATAATTGCTAAAGCAGAAGCAGGAAATATGTTACGGTTCAAATATATCACTGAACTACAGATCCCAGTAACCTTAGCCACTTAACCTGATAATAGTGAAATTATGCCAGGAATTGCAATTCACGTAATTGGTGAGAAGCAGGGGCACAGTTTCTCAATCATATTGTAAAAGGAAGTGTCATGGGGAAATCAGCCTTGAACTGTAGTAAAACAGGTTTTGCATACCTGTAGAAGATTGATTGGGTCTAGGCAACTGTGACAAAGTTTTCTTGTCAAATATATATTGAGGAAAGAGGGATATTGATTTTGTTTGTCACATTGGAGTTCACCTAGGTCCTCTGTTTATTCAAAGATGCTCCTGCTATAAGGATTTGAATTTGAGAACTGCTCATTTGTAGATATAAGAACTGCCCTCCAACAAAACCACTCATTTGTGACCAAAGTTTCTACAGTTAAGAACTAGAATCCCATTCAAGAATCTCTACCCTTAACATAAGCTGCTCACATTATATGCAGATGTATTTATTTTCATTTGGAAACATTTGAACGTTTGACTGATGTCTGTCCAAATTTGCAGAACGTAAGACTTATGCATGCATCTAAATATTTTGTTTGAGAGTAGAACAAAATAATCTGCCCCACCTCTAGGCTAAAATTAAATATTGAACTAGATTGCACAGTAGCTTATAGTTACTTCCTCTCAGTTTAGGTTTAAAACTTGCAGTAGAGTATTAACATGAATAATGTTGAATTGTAGTTCTGTGTGTCTGTGTCCAAACTGTAACACATAAGTACTAGCAACAGTGAGTAATGCAAGGTTGTTTTAAACTATTTCCATGTTTAGAGTTGCAATTTTCTAAAGTCATATGCATTCACAGTAGACCAGTAGTGGCGAACCTATGGCACATGTGCCAGAGGCCCTCTCTGTGGGCACACGCACCATTGCCCCAGCCCCGCCTCCGCCCGCAACCCCCTCCTCACCAGCAGCCTGCCCGGAGAGGCTCCCCCAAGTGCAACCCATGCAGAGCAGCACAGCCAAGCACATGGCAGCTGGGCAGCAGGGGCAAGACTCCGCCCTCACGCCCCATGACATGCAGATGATACTGCAGGGTGTGGGTGGAGGGCGTGGCTGCCATGGTGCTGCGAGGCTGCCTGGGCGATCTGTGGTAAGTGGCCCTGTGGGTGGCAGAGCGGGGTGGAGCAGGGGGCAGAGTGGGGCTGGGCCGGGGGGTGGGCCAGTTTTTGGGCACTCGGTCTCTAAAATGTTCGCCATCACTGCAGTAGACTATGCTGCATTGATGCCATAAGTCACTCTCTTCCAGTATTCCTTTCCAATGCATTGAAATACATTTGTTTGAAATTTTGTAATAGCAGGATTTTTAAAAGATGTTCCATAGTTTTAGGTATTTGATCATTGGCAGTAACTTCACTAATATTCAATATTAGCTACTGTACGTTGCGTGTCTTTATTGACTTCTATGGAATCCTTTAATGTGAATCAAAAAGTGCTTTATCCTGACCATGGCTCACTGATGGATGAAAATTATGTGCATGCAGTTTATACTATAAATCAAGGTTATTTGCATTAAAGATAATGAATCTGTCACTTTCATTAGTTCTTCAGTTTTGCAAATATGTCAAGTTTTCATCTCTTTTTTTTTGCTAACATGTATGCTTTTATGCACTTATTTATTTATTTAAGTTTTTCTATCTCACCCAATTCAAAAGACTCTTGAACATTATAGTTATAAAAGCAATAATACAAATATATCAACATCGTTTTAAAAAGCAAGCAGTACTAATAAATCAACTTCCACAAGATGGATACCAATAACTTAGCCCAGAGATATAAACTGCTCTTTAAAGATCTGTAAAAACCATGAGGGAAGTTGCTTCACAGATGTCTAGGATGAGGTGGGGTAGTAAAGAGTTCCTACATATGGGGACTTTCATACTTTTTTTTTTTTTTACAATTTTGTCTAATGCAGTTGTAGTTTTTTCTTCATTTAATATTTTGCAAATAATCTATGTATTTCTATATATTCTTTCTTAACATACCTTTGTTATAAAAGAACATTGACAACATGACTTCATGTTGACTGACTTCACAATCAATTTAAATGATAATCAGACAACAAGAATTTCAGTCAACATAGACTCTGAGCTACATAGACTTTGTTATATATAGAATCAAATCCCCCATCCTTTCTCCTCTTTTTTTCCTTTGGGAAACTCTAGGAAAAGGAAGATGGACAAGAAGTGATGTGCCAGAGTGAGAAGGAGCAGAAAACTGAGATCAGTCTCCTTCAGCCCTAGTTTAAAGGTTGAAATGATCAGAAAGATGGAAAGGAAATCCAGATAAATTGAATTAGAAAAGAATAATTGATTAAAGGGGGCCACTTTAGTGGAAATAGAGCTTTAGGAAAAAGCAACGTACAAATATGGTAAATAAATGTCTACTTAGGACTATACTTAGCTTCTTTGTTTTCCATGTGTGTTTCAACCATCTTTATTTTCATGCTATAATTTAAAGACATCACATTGCATGTCAATGTGAACCAAATCTTCAAAAAAGCTATGCTATTAACCTCTCAAAAATAAAAAAGCTGATCGGGGAATCAGCACCATCTTGTGGCTTGGCAGCAATTTTATACTTACTTTTTATATTCTGTTATGTCCTTTTTCTGATTCCACTCATTTCCATTTGTAAGTTTCCTGGGTTCCTAAGCAGCACTGTATTTTACTTTTTTCCAAAATTGATTCCCTGCATTCTAATATTTAAGGTTAGAGGAGGTAGTGGGGTTAAAATGTTATCTTCCTTTTTAGCAAAGTTTAATTTTGTATATATCCTATGAGACTGTTTTATTTCCAAGCCGGGGAGGGGCTAATATAGCAATAAGGCCACATACCTTCATGTGTGATGGTATGTGGGAATGACCTTTGGAGGTTGGGGGCAGAGCCGTGATCAGAGCAACAGGCAGCTTAGCCCCCAGCAGGAATGTGGGTGTGACAAACATCTCAGAAGAGAACCTTTCTAGTTTTGGGGCTGTAAGAAATGTACTTTCAGACTTGTAAGATTATGTTAATGTAATAACATAAAGTAGTAGTAGAATTAATTCATTAAGTATTTTGTTTTGTCTGGATTACCACAAGGCTGACATAATGCTATGCAAAGATGAAACATTTGCAATTATTGAATTTTATTTTATTTTTCAGTTTTGCAATATAACTGCCAGAGAGTAAGGCAGAATGTGGAACCCCTATCTCTGATACACAAGTACAGTTCAAGAGAAGATGCCAGGTGACACATTTTCTGGAAGAGAAAGGTTCACGGCAAAAATTATCTACTTCATGGGGCAGGGGATGGAGGATTTTTGGGAAAAAAAGGTTTGAAAATTCAATTCTTCTATTTTTTTAGTTTAAAATTCTTAGCAAGTTGCAGTACAATATTTAAAATGCATATTTCAAATAATAATTAAGTTTTATTTGTGTATTTGCTGAAAATGTAAAGTGCAATATATTTAGTTCACATTTGAATATAAAGTTATTTATCCACCATCCCTACAAAATTTCTCATCTCCCATAAAATATGTGCTGTGGCGAGGCTAGTTCATACAGGCACATTTTTCCTTCCCTTCTGAAAATATATATTTATAGGAATATATAAATAGCATCTTAATACTGTAACTAAAAGGTTAGAATATGCAAGCCGCCTGGATAAGGTTACCAAGAATGAAATCAATAAAGAAGGTTATAGCTCACATTCCTAATCATTTGTGCATAAATATTCTAAACTGGCATTGGTATATTATAAAAAATATACTACACATGATTCTCAACTTCCCCTTCTGCTGTTGGCTATTAATGCAATTTTATCTCTTTTTTCCCCCAAGTCAGTGGCTTTATTAAGAGGCCTTGAATGAATGGAAGAGGAGGCAAATGGCTTATGCACTTTTCAACAGGATAAGGGTGAAGTACTCATACCTTCTGTCCCTAGTCAAAGGAAGGGTTAATGGATTCTACTCTATCTCACCCCATATTTTAAATCTATAGATTTATATAGTTTATAATGCTAGTTTATAATACTAGCTGATATAAATGGGCTAGTATTAAGTATTCTGATTCTATTTGAAGTAACAGTGGAGTAGGATGTGACAAACTTTATTGGATGTCCTGGTTATTGAATGTAATGCCCAGACAACATTTTCAGTGAGCCTGTTCTGGAAACTTTCTTTTCTATGCTCAGAATGAAGTTTTGAAAGTGAAAACCACTGATAAATTACAGATTTGTTCTTATTTCCTGTAATTTATGAATTGAATACCCATCAACCTCACACAATTACAATTAGGGAAACCTTATTTTGTGACAGTGGGCATAACTTCTGGATATAATGCTCGGTTATTGAGAAATGAAACACAGCATTTGTCTCCCTACACTTTTTATTTCACACCAGTAGCCTGCTTGATAGTTTACTGTATGGGACCAGAACAAATGACCTTATAGTTGGCAAATGAAATAAAGGTGACAGAATAAAAATGCACGGGCTAAGACAAGTCAGATCCTAGTGAAAAAATAAATAATGTATGACTAACCTGCCTAGGACAGTTTTTTTCTATGAGAGCTCTTCCTAAAACAGATGGGAAAACTACAGTACTCCTATTCCAAAATTGAAAGGGGCTTCATTTGATGAAGAAAAAGTCGGATACATTTTGTCTCTTTCCTTTGTTTGTCAGAACTGATTTATTTACCCTTTAAAAAAGTCTCTATAGTACTGGTAATGTAGCGACATCATTTTATTTCATCTGCGGCTTATAGGGAACATAAATATTTCTATTTGTTTGGGCAATAGATATATTTCTTCAAAAATCCAGACTGATGCAAATAGAAAACTGTTGAAAAATTGTGTTGGTCTCCCATGGAAAATGAGACACGCATGCAGGTATCTCGGGATGGGAGCCCAGAGCTGACTCCAACACCCTATTTTATTGTTACTAACGTTTTTACATCACACAGCGTAATCAAAAGACGTATATAGGGGTGGTTACAATGTATCAAATAACAGACACTCTCCAGATGCAAGGCTACTGCAGGTGTTCTTATCAGACTCTGTCCAAATGGCTGATGAATGTATCCTGTGTCTGGAGCAGTCCGTTTGTTATCTCAAGGCCTTTGTGGGAGCATGTCCATGGACATATTTGTGCAATTAATCCCACAAAAAATGATGATGATGATGATGAAGGGATAGCCCTCTTTCTAGAAGACAAATAAAGCAAATTGAATAATGTCAGACTGACTTTTTGCCTTCTTTTTTTTTTAAAAAAAAATAGCTATTGTGAAATTTGAAATTTAAGACCTTTGTGGCTGGTTTTAGAATACATCTGGATTTGTATTATGTCTCCAAAACAAAGCCTCTAAAAATATAATGGAATTTCCCCTATGAGCACTATCCTAATTATTACAATGTTTTTTTTAAAAAAATGCTTAGATTTTAAGCATTTTATGATGTTTTATACAAATGCATGCTGTGAATAAAGACAATCTTGTTTTTATTTGTTTTATGTGCGTCACTTGAGAATCTTTGGGGAGGATGTCAAGAGTGAGTCAGAGATGCTGTATGAATATGGTGTATATATGAAGTGTTCAAACATTTACAGAAAATAAAGGACAAAAAGCAGTATGGGATTTGGACCAAAACCTTTTTGAAAGATTGTTAATTTAGAGGAAATATTGAAAATAAAATAACCCACTCCTCTCGACAGAGAACCTTTAAGTCCTACTTATACATCCAAGTAAATGCATTTATGGTAACAGTGCCAGTGTGTTCAAAATCATGTCGAATGGCAAAATTTAGACTAAAAATAATTGCTGCAGTGAGTGAAGTAGCAATATGTAAGCCCATTTTGATTATTACTATTATTATAAACTGTGCTATTTGTCTCAGGCAGATGGGAAGTCCTCAGCTGCATAAAACTGTCATTTAAGTCATGTCATCAAGTGCAACAAACAATTCTTTATCTTTTTGTGGTATATAGAGATACAGAAATGGCTCTGTAATAGAGGGGAATTTCCCCCATTTCAAAGTACTACCATTATAAGGCTGCACATACTGTTGCTTATTGAACTTAAATCATTTATTAAATTGTACAGACTAATATATTTGTTAAGGTAAAGTCATAAGTTAGAGGTCTGATACAATGTCATAGAACATCAGTCAACAAATATACATGTTTGTTTGTTTGTTTGTTCATTTATTCATTCATTCAATTTATAAAACAGCCCAACTCAACAAAGTGGCTCAGGGTGGCTTACCATCCTAAATTGTAATTTGTACAATTCTTATTCAATTTTCAAGACAAATAATTTATTTCTTTCAAATATTGGTGAAAATTATTGATGTACTTCATTCAATCTTCTTCCATACAAGCAATCTTCATTGATTCAATGATGTTCCAAACAATTGCTCAAAAGATAACTAAGTTTTCCTACCCAATTTCTATAATGTTTAAGAAGCCTTTTAATAAGCTCTATTAAAAGGACTGTTACTTTATTAAGTAACAGTCCTTTTAATAGGACTTTTCATTTAAACAGGCAGCAAACCTCAGGCTCATCTGCGCTGAATTGGGTAAAGAAATGTCTGCCAGCAAACAACCAAGCTGAGACAGCATCAAGAACACTGTTCATTTAATATTATCACCTGAAATAGCCATTTTGAGTAAGGCTTATAAAATTAATGTGTATTTAGACCTTTTGGTTTTCAACAGGCGTGAATTGAGGACCGTTATTTTCTATTTTGTTATGCATATTTTTTTTAATATTTCCAACTTTTTGGAATCAGAGGATTCAATTTAGGTCTAACTATACTTGGAACAGAAAAATAAAATCAGTGCAATGTAATTCAGGCATGGCTAAATACAAATAACATTAATTTTAATAAGTGTATGTTAAGCATATCAAATATTAAATCCATTTACTTCATTGTCTATGGCTTTTATGTCCAGGGAAGAAGATACCTTAGTTCAAATAATAGTTTTAGTAGCCAATAATTTTCCTCTAGTATGCAGCATTCTAAGCACACTTTTCTTTCAAGGTTTTGACATTTGTATATAAATATCAAGAGTCCTAATATAGAATCACACACACACACATAATTCCCTCTAACAGTTTAGTTTCCTTTGGTTGTGCTTATTGCCAGAGAATATAGACCATTTTAAAATTCATTTGTAATGGATGGATCTTTCTGAACCAGATGTTCATCAACACCTATTAGTTTTTCTTTAAAGAAAAATGAATTCTTCTAAATTGCCACAAGTTTCCATTATCAACAGATTTTTAACAAGATTGTGGTACCCTGTATACTGTATAAAGGAATACAGTACTAACAAATTTCATTGTTTTGTGAAATCTTTCAACTGTTCCTGATGCTCTAAATAAGAAAGATTTTCATTTTCTCCTCTTCAGGCTGCTTAGGACAAATATACATGTAAATCAGAGGCCAGATGGCAACTTGTGATAGCCACAATCAGACTAAATTTGAGTGTGAAGAGATGTGAAACATTGCAAAACGATGATGCAGAGTGAAACAGTAAAGGAGAGCCAGTGGATCTGAATCATACATGCGTGAATTTTCTGTCTTCTGAGGTTAATGCTATTTTGCTGTGTTTTTTTAAAATGTGCTAGGTCTGCTGGTACAGTTTATATAACAAATCTGAAAGTTGGAAATTACGATGGCAACATTTTTTCAATCATTCCACCACTGAACTTTGGTGGTCAAGGGCATTGGAGCTTTGAATTTAAAATACTCCTTGTCAGATGATGTGTAGAATGCTAAAAGACTACTGAGTAATCAAGTAGAAATTCTCAATAAAAAGAAGAGAGAAAGAGAGAGACAGAGACAGAGACAGACAGAGACAGAGAGAGATTTACCTTTGCCTTTTCAGTGCAGAGACTCATTGAACTAGTAATAGCCCAGGCAAGAAACATATGCTGGCCCTTATGGGAAGACACTTATCCAGCTCTTGCCATTTTATCTTGACGGTCAAAATAGGTCATTGATGTTATTTTCTCAACATGCTGGAGGAACAATTGAAATAATTTCTTGATCACACATCCCTGCATAAAATCACACAAAATACAAAAACTTCAAAACACAATTCATTTCTAGCTTAAACAATCCATGTTTCACAATTTTAAGAACAGCAGTCAAGAAACCGGCCAACCGCTGATTTGTGGCATCTGAAAATTCCCACCACTGCGAATGCTAATGTTGTGTTGCACACAACGTTTAATAAATAATATTTACTTTTTAAAATCACAATCACTCGCAAAATGGTTAGTGGCCTCTCACAGAACCTTAGTTGAGAAAGGCTGCCCTAAACCAGCAGTTCTCAAAATGTGCTCTGGGAAACTTTCAGATGGTCTGCAAAGTCAAATAATCAATATTTTTAAATTTCTCAATTTTACTTTCTAATATAGTAAATACTGATAGATAGAATAAGATAAGAATCCACATAAACCAAAATTCTTTGAGATCCTCAATCATTTTTAAGAAGGCAAAGGGGTCCTAAGATCAAAATAAGAATTGCTGTTCTGAACTATTTTCCTGTCAAGGAAATGGCTGCTTTACTAATCAAGGCAATAGCTATTTTTAACACCTAACTTGTGGAATAATTACCCAAATGCTCATTTAAACACAGACAATTGAAGGGCATAGATGAACAAGCGTGTGCATTTATAGGCAGTGAGAAAGAATTAGCTCAAAATTGTCCTAAAAAAATCTTTAAAATGAAGTATACCTAGGTTTATTACCTGGCAGTAATAAGCCTGAAATAAGAAGCAGAGGAAGCTAAAGTTTGGGTGATAAATGATGGATTGCAAAAGTAAACTTCATAGAATTAAAAAGGTAGGAAACGAAATAGCAACACATTTAATTGATATTTTTTCCAAAGGAAGAATTTTACTTTCACTTTGATCACTGAGAATTAAAAATATATATTTTGCGCAGGGTATCTTTCAGATCCGGTTTTTTAAAATCAGTTTTTCAAAAACAGGATATACTCAGTGCCCCAAACATTGCATATTCATAGATATTTCGTAACAACTGTAGAGTTTCCCTGGGCTCCAGCGTCGTGTCATCTCATATCTCCCTAAAGCAGTGGTTCTCAACCTTTCTAATGCCGCGACCCCATAATACAGTTCCCCATGTTGTGGTGACCCCCAACCACTTATACATCACCGGGTGCCAGGGGCGTGGCCAAAGAAAAGGAGGAAAAAATGGTGGACAGTCTTGTTTGGCGACCCCCGTGAAATGGTTGTTCGACCCCAAATGGGGTCCCGACCCACAGGTTGAGAACCACTGCCCTAAAGGCTATAGGAAAAGCCACATCTTTATAGCCTTTACAAATATTCTCCTTTATTGGCTTCAAAAGGAGAATATTTGTAGCTCAAGGTTGAAATGAGGGGTCCTTGATGATGTTACCTAGTTTGGGTATGAAACATCTGCAACAAAACAACCAAGCTCAGAACGCTCAGTCTTTTGAAGGCCAGTAAATAATGAGTATGGCAAAATGCAGAGGGAAGGGTGTCCAAAGACCAGGGGCCACTACCAAGAAGACACTGCCTGACCCTGCTGGATGTAAAAACCAAATAATATTGTTGCAAGAAAATACTTGTCTTTTAATATACTTAGAAACACAATTAATTCATCAATATGATCTTGCAGATATGCCTTCTGGAGAACAGGTGCTGTGTTCTATTGATAAACAATCTTTGCTATAGCAAAATATAACATTCTGATATTTACTCTTGAGGGTATATTATTCCATACTATAAATGTTGAACAGACTATTCTTAACAGCAGAAATGCATTAATATTTGAACATGCACAATGTGAAGTAATATGACATCAACCATGCAGATGTTGTGCATTTTCAGAGCAAGAGAAGTGATTCTGTGGTGAGAGTACCAACAGTCAAGATTCAGGCCTGGACATGTGACAGAAACAGCATTGGCCATGCTTTTAGATCAGGGGTCCCCAACCTTTCTTGCTTGGCGATTCGG